GCTCTCTGCCCGGCTGTGTTGGGCACCTCGTGGGCCTTGTTGTCCCTCCATGGTGCGGATGCTCTAACTTGAGAGGCAGATAAAATCAAGGCTTTCCAGAAGTGGGCAGACAGATGTGTTAGCTTATCAGGAGTAACCAGTCCAGAAGTTGGTGTCTAAAACTTACAGGTCATCCCTCAAAACCACACTGCCTGGGGGAACCGCAAGCACAGGGCTTCTCTGAGTCTCGGTGGCGTCTTGCAAGAAAGCCGGCCTGTCTTTGGCCACCTTGAGGCTGCGGTCTGAGGCGTGCGCTGTAGGTGCAGTAAAGAAGCCTGGTGTATGAAAATGAGGGAACGTGAGTGGTGAGGGGTGACTGCCCCCTTTCCACAGGGACTCAGCCAGGAGCCCAGCCTCTCAGGGCGCTTTGACTTCACATAGAAACTGGCTTCAGACTCGCTCCCGAGTGCCTCGCTGTCTTGTGACGAACGGCGCCCGAGCAGGGTGGAGAGCAGGGTCCCTGAGCCAGTGCAGCAGAGACCAGGCCACTTCCTCCCACCTCGGCTGTGAAGTCGATTCTGGCGTCATATTCAGGAGCCCTGTTTGTCTCCATGCGCATCGGCCACACTGTTGTGCAAAGGGTTGGTCTCACCTGGGAAAACTGGTGGGGTTGGTCCCTACAGCCTGAGGCCCAGTGCGCACCCCTCGGGGCCTGGAGGGAAGTGACATGTGTCGGGTGGAGAGGGAGGGGCCTGCTCCCGGAGCCCCTTCCTCTGTCCCCACCAGGCTGGCTCCACCTCCTCGTTCTCATCTGTTTCTCTGCCTGAGACCCCAGCTGGGGCTCCTAGCCCGGGCTGACTTCCCTGACCCACCTTGGGCGACTCAGCTCTGCTCACAGGACTGAGCGGGGCCCCTGCGCTCATGGTCCCCGCCCCATCTCCCACGCCTCCCAGGGCCTTTAGTCCCAGGCAGGCTTCCTGTGTTTCCCCCGCCCGCCGCCACTGTGGGGAATCTCGCCTCGCTGCTTCAAGAAAATCAAGGCCATGAGATGTGATCGCTCAACTTCCTTACCCTCGTCTGCAGGTTTTCCTTCCTGCCATCTTGACTCCTTTGCTTTGATCTTGGAGATGACATGTCCCTCCTGTTCAAAGCCAGCCCACCCGTCCCCTCTTCCTGAGACCGCCCTCACCTCTTCAGCCCTGTCCCCCTCCCGGTCCCTCCCAGCCTGTCAACATGCTCAAGTCCCCGCCCTGAAAGGCCCGCCTGCGGGCTCCATGCTCGCCTCTGGCTACAGCAGGTCTCCCTGTCCCCAGGCCCCTTTCACTCAGCCCTCCCCCCGCGCTCCCGCAGCAAGGTTGCCGGTGACATAACTGCCAGACCCAGGCCTGTCCCGGTCTCTTGCCTTCCTGCCCCCCCGCTGGTCTGACACTGAGATCCTTAGGGGTCTGTTCTCAGCTTGAGCCAGAATTTGTTGAACGTCTGAATTCTCTCCCTGAGGCTCTTTTGGGGCTTCCTGGCGTTCATTCTAGAGCCTTCATCCCCAGCCCTATCGGACCCCTGCGCTCCAGACCCCTGCTTGGCTCCCAGCTGGGCCCTCCCTCTGGGCGCCACAGAGCCTGTCCCGTCTGGACTGGCAGGTCCACAGATAAACTCATCCTTGCCCAGAAGGTGGCTCTCCTCACGTCCTTCACTTCTGTTGGAGGTACCACCGCTCCCCACGGTGATCAGGCTGGAAACCTGGAGGTCATTTGATTCTCGATTCTACCCTGGATTGTGGTTCCCACGTCCAGTTGCTCACAAAGTCTCACCAACTTGACCTCCAGGGAGCTGGGGTCTGTGTCCTCTGTGCCCCGACACCCCAGCTCATCGTTTGTTACTGGGCTGCTGGGGTTCTCGTGAGGAGCGCTGGGGAGCCCGCTTTACCCTGATCATGTCACGTCTCTGCCAGGCTGTCCACAGCGCCCCCTTCCCTAAGGCCTGAGGACTGAGGCCATTGTCTGCCTGCCCCCCTGGCCTTTAATGAAGTGGTGGGGCCTCTGCAGCCCCTTGAGGGGGTGTCAACGGGCCCCCAAACACGTGCTCCCCCAGGGTCAGGGTGTTGGCCAAAGGTGCCAGTGAGGCTCTGTGTCCTTGACGGGAGGCCCTGGCAGGAGCTGGCCGCCTTCTCACCGGCTCCCACCGGCCACTGCCCTGCCGAGTGCCCTGAAGAGGTGACTGAGGGGTGGGGCAGGAATGCCTGGGCCTGGCTGCTGTGTCCAGCCCTGGGCACCAGCTGTCCGGCTCAGGCCACTCCCAGGGGCCAGGGAGCAGGCAGGGCAGTGCCAGCCTGAAGGCAGGAAGGACCTGGCTTCCCGACGCCTCCCAGCCCCTTTGTGTCCGTGATGGTGCCTCGCCCCGGCGGGCTGCCGCAGACGCTCATCAGGTGGAGGGCGCCGCCGGCCGCCACGAAGAGCAGGAGAGCAGGTGGGGCGGTGGCGAGCGGAGCTCCGGCCAGTGCGGGGGCAGGCTCCTTTCCCCACTGCTGCTCTGGGTCGAGTGAGGAATGAGTTGTTACTGTGTCTGAAACAACCCTCGCGCTCCCTGTGCCTGGCGGTTCTAACTCACAACTGCCTCACGCTGTAACGGCCAAACCCCACCCAGCGAGGCAGGCGTCGGCAGACGCCATGCGGACATCCTCCTCCTTGAGATCGGGCCGGAGGACCCCAGGAACCCTGACCTCTCAGCCAGATCCCACTGTGTGGAAGTTCTGCCCTGAATTTCCTGGCGGTGGGGGCGGGGCTCGCGGTTCCCAAGTGTGGAGCTGAGCAGGGAGCCGGCCTGGAGGCAGGCTGACCCGAGGGCGCTGCCCCTGCCTCAGGGTGGGTGTCAGGTGCCGGTCCCCGCCCTGGCCCTGCTGCTCCCCCCACGTGACCGGACGCAGCTTCTCTCTCAGCCTCAGCTTCTGATGGACAGTGAGGACTAGAAGCCAGCCCGTTTTTTCTCAAAGTGTGGTCCGCACACGCGAGGCGACCTTAGGTGGTACCCGGAAGAAGGCTTCCTGTTCTAGTAGTTATGTGATTACGTTAACGTGCATTAGAACGAGACGTGATTAGCACATAAACTGCATGAGTTTGTGGGTATTAATGTGAAGGACAAGTAAAGGGGGAAGGGGTATATGTGAGGGAAGATGTTAGGGAAGCACTGAGTCAAGCGGTTCTCAGAAGCAGCAGAAATCTGGGCAGGAGCTGCCACTTTGGGGCCCTGGTTTCTGGGGTACCATCAGTTCTGATGCCTGTGGCCTGTGTAACCCCTAGATGGTCCAGTGGGGAGACAAAGCACCGAGGGGGTCTTGCCAAGGCTCCGCTGGCTCGATGGTGCAGGGAGGCTCAGACCAGGCTCCAAACAGACCCCACCCAGAAACCCTGGACTCTCCCAGATAGGAGGGGCTTATCATGCAGAGGCCGGGCACGGGGACACCAGGCCAGACTGCCTGGGTCCAGGCCCAGCACTGACCCAGCTGCGTGGCTTGGGCAAACTAATCTTTGTCTCCTCAGCTGAGAAGCGAGAACAGCCCCTCGTCGCATGTGGGGAGTGGGCATACAGCCGTTGGGTGTGGTGCGTGCCCACATGTCAGGCGTGTCCCCACCACTGCTGAAGGGATGCTGTGGGCCCCAGCCCACTCCACGTGCCTTCTGTCTGCAAGGAAGCCATGAGGAACCCCTCCCCCACCAGGTGAGGTGACAAAGAAGGGTCCAGAACACAGGACCTTCCAGCTGCGTCCCCTGGATCAGCAAGCTTCGCCAGACAGGGCTGGGCTCTCGCTGCTCAGGCTAAACTGGCCAACCCTTCCCTCTCAGATGACCACCCAGGAGAGTGGCCTGGGGACACCCGAGGGCCCCTCCAGCGCTGGTGCCCGCCAGCCCCCCACCCTGCTGGCTGTGCGGCGCCCTCCCCAGCCCTGGAGAGGCACGGCCCCTGTCCTGGTTCCCAGGTCAGCCCCAGGAGCACCCAGTGATCACCCGACAGCCCCAACACCCAAAGCTGCTCCAGAGAGAAGGCTGTCTGCCCCCAGCCGTCAGGGCTTCCCCACCGTTAGGAGACCCGTGTCCTCCTGGGCCTCCACCCTGTGCGGCCACGAGGCACTCCCTGAGCTCCGGCGCAAGTCCTCCTGCCGCATAGACGCCCATTCTGGAGGCTCTCCAGCCTCCCCACACGGGCCCCTGTGCATCCCGCCTCGGCCCCGGCTGGGCAGCTCGGGAGGACAGCATCTCCACTCGCCCTGGGCTCCAGCCGGAGCTGCAGGTGCCTTGCTCGGAGCAGGAGCCAATCACCTGAGGCCAGGGTGGCCCTGTCTCCTCCTCAGAGCCCATCCCAGATCAGAGAAGCCCCCACCCCGCCCTCCCCCCTCCCCTTCTGGGTGTGTCGCCGTTTGAAGCTTAATCAGGTGAAGTGTACCTGGTTCCTGTGCCGGGCGGGAAGCTGGCCAGAGGCTGTGGAGGACGCAGCAGGCTCGGCGGGACCTCGGGCTGGTCCTCCCGGAGGCCCCCGGGTCACAGCCGTAGGGCGGAGCCGCAGCACAGGAGGAAAAGCCCAGGAGAGGTAACTGCGGAGGTGGCGGCCCAGGGAAGTGTCCTGAAAGGGTGAGGCCAGTGGCAGGCCTGGGGGAGCGAGGCCAGGAGCGCTGTGTGGTCAGGGCTTGGTCGGCTGCAGAGGGAAAGGAAACAGAGGCAGCCACCTGCAGGTGGGATGACAGCTCCCACCTCTGAGGGGAGAAGGCGAGGTTGGCGGTGCAGCCAAGGGCATTGCCACCAACGGGGGATCTTTCCGAGGACTTGCCCTCTGGGAGCCCACTGTCCCTGGGTGTGTCCGGGTTCCCACCCCTGCCAGCATCCAGCGACGAAAGCGTGGATTTTCTGGGTGGAGATCAGAGGGGGAGGCTTCCTGGAGAGGAGCTAAGTGTGAAGGCTGAGGACAGGGGGAGTCTGTGCTGTGTCTGACGTGGGAGTGGGCTTGCGGGGGCTGCAGGGCCGTGGTCGGGGCATGGCCTCCGGAGCTGGCGGCCGGGGTCACATCCCAGCCCCGGCAGGTCAGAGCTGTGTGACCACAGGCCCCTGGCTCGTGGGGTCTCTCCCACCACCTGTTCAGCGGTATCGGCCTTGCCGATCCGTCGTGAGGAGCGAGTGAGCCCAGAACTCACGCTGGCACCCAGCGCAGAGCAAGTGCTACAGAAATAAACGTGCCTGCTGTTTCTTCAGTCCTGCTGTTTACTAGAAATGAGAGCTCACTAGAGCCCACTGAAGCTCTCCAAGCCTCGGTTTCCCCATCTGCAAAATGGGGTAAGAATTTACCCCAAGGGGATTAAATTAGTTGCGAGCACAGGGCAGGCCCAGTGGCTAGTGGCCTCCCTCCCTGTCAAGTCAGCCAAGGTCTGTCCCCATGAAAGCCTGCTGTTTCCTCCCCTTTAGGGCCCATGCTTTACCCACTCCCACAGGAGGTGTCTGGATAGAAACGTTTCACATTTCAGGCCCAGAACCTGTGTATAGCTGCTCCGTCCGTCACAGACATTAGGCACACAAGACGTGGCCTGTGAGAGTAGTGACCCTCTCTGGTCAGCTTGGTGACACTCACATGTGACCACAAGCTTGGGCACCTGTCGGCTCCCCTCTCCTGAGGGACCCCGATGCCCACAGATGGCAGGTGAACAGCAGGCCAGAGGGCACTGGGGAGAGTGTTCCCAAACCCTCAGGCTTGGGGATTCGGGGAAGAAAGAGAAAGAACAGGAGAGGGCAGGGGGCATTGTGCACAAGAAGAGGCCCCGATGGTCCTGGAAGGAGGGGTAGGACTGGGACAGGCGATGAGAGGGCTGGTGCTGGGGGAGGGGAGAGCCCCAGGCTGAGGGAGAGAAGGCGGGGGGTGGGGGGTGCTGGGCCGGGGCTGAGCTGGGCGCGGGGAGAGCCGGTGGGGAGCAGGAGGGTGGCGGACCGCCAAGGCCCCGCAGCACTAGGCGAGGCGGGCAGGTTCCTGGCCGTGAACTGCCGGTGGGAGTTTCTCGGCACAGCAGTGCTCTGGACGCGGGCGGGCGGGGTGTGTCCGGAGCCGGCGTTCGTGGCAGGGCTGGGGTGGGAGCTGGTCCGGCAGCAGCCAGGGTACTTCCCTGGGAGGTCTCCCCCAGGGCGTGGGTGCTGGTGCCCCCTCCGCCCCCAGCACAGAGTGGCAAGGGTGAGGGGGCTTGCTCGCGGTCCTGCAGTGGGGAACTGGCAACGCCACGACCCTCAGCCGTGCTGACTCCAGACCCTTGGTCGTAAGCCACCTTTTGCCAAGATGCAGGGAGCTCTCTGAGACGTGGGAACAGCCTGAGAGAGCAGATGGCAGAAGCCTGGGGCAGCTGCACACACGGGAGGGGGACCTGGGGGCTGCTGTCCCCCTGGCCCCAGACCTGGGCTCCACCAGCTCGGTTCCTCCCTGTGACATGGCTGAAGCCTCCTTCCTCGTGGGGACCCGCGATGATCCAGGGAGATCTGTGTGTGAGCGGCGTGAGTTCACTTTCCTCCCTCCTGCAGACCCAGGTGACCTCGTGTTCTGGAAGCCCTGTGGCCGGGAGTCACTTTCCACCCACAAATGCTCTGAGTCGATGGGTGGTCAGGAGGGGCCTCGGGAAACCTCAGACTTTTGCTCTGTGGCCCTGAGGGCTCTCCCCATGAGACACATGGAAGGGAGCGTCCCTTTGGGGCAAAGGGAGCTAGAGCCTCTGTCCTCTGGTCCCCAAGTCGGTGGTGACCTGGGCTCCAAGCACAGTTCTCTGTCTGAGGTCGGTGCTGGGCCCTGGCAGGAGCGCAGGGGGCGATGCCATGCGATGGCCCGGTGGGCACCCAGTAGGGCAGAGGCGCCCGTCTGCCCCTCAGCCCATGAACCAGCTCCAAGCGACTGGTCTGCACCTGGGGAGGCTCAGACGTGGCCCGTTTCCCTGTCAAAGCTGCTGTCTTCCGCAGACGCTCCTGGTTTGGGCTGCCCCTGCCTTCCCGCAGGGTGACTTTCCTTTCTCATTTTTTACCTTTGAAATTAGCACCGATTATTCCCAAGAGTTGGGAACCACCCTGGGGCGCACGCCCGGTGCAGGCAGCAATCGAAGTCACAGGAGGGGCGTTCGGACAGCCACGTGCCTCCCTCCAGCAGGAGGCGGGCTGGACACTGGGCTCCCAACCGACATTCCAGCCAGGGTCCTGCCTTTGCCTTCCCTCCCTCGGTGCCCCCTCAGGCACTCCCACCCCCACCCCCATGGAGGCTTTGGACCCCTTTGAGCTCTTTCTACCCACGCTCTCTCTGAAGTCCGGCGAGGGGCCACTTTATGGTAACGTTTTATTCTCTGAGCCACATTAGCGCTGATTGGTGGCTTTGGGCCAAGTGTCCTGACGTCTTGGCTCCTAAGCTAGCAGCCTCTTCCTGCCCATTTCGGTGTAACTGACAGTGGGGGCAGGGGGAGGTAAGGGTCGGGGTGAAGCAGTGGGAGCAACGTCCAGAGCAGCCTGCCTCCTGAATCTCAGTTTTACTCATTCTCTTGGGCTGTTCAGAAAGACTCATTCCTGGACAGAGGAGAATTCCTGGCCAGTCCCAAGGTGTACACCAGTGTCTCTCAAGTGCCATCGGCTGTGTGGCCTTGGGAAAGTTACCTGACCTCTCTGGGCCTCAGCTGTCCTATCTGTCACAAGGATAATAATAGTCCCCACCTTCCTGTGAGGAATCCATGGCTGTGCGTGCACATCAGGGTCACTGAGGAGCGCGCCTGACCTGGAGGAGGTCCCATGTGAAAGTCAGCTCTCCGCTCCAAGCAGGCTCAGAATCCCAGGCACTCAGTGGCTGCGAGCCAGTGAGTCAGTTTCTGAAGGTAAACCCAGCAGGTCCCTTGGTGGCGAACGCAGGAATGAATTTCCCCAAAGCGCACTGCAGGCTGGAGAGGATGCGTGCGGAAGCTGCCCGGCCCTCGGCCCCCACCCTTCGCCCTGGCGAGGATGGCCCCGAGCGGGGCTGCTTCTCTCACAGCGGCAACCACAGAAACAGATCGTTGTGATCCTCTTATGTTTAGAACTTTACGGCTCACAGAGCGGTCATACAAACGTTTCCACTTGGTCGTCAAACTGACCCGAGCAGACGGGGCAGGACGGCCGCCCCGCGGCCAGCTCCGGGAGTCGGGGCGGGGGCGGGGGCGGCTGAGACGGGACGCTTCCCTCCCCCTCACGCTGGTGTGTCTCCTTTCTCCTCCCCTCCTTCGGCTTCTTTCTCTCAGTCTGTGTATACAGCGAGCAGTGCCCCTTCAGGAGCCCCAGTGCAGGGACATGCATCTCAGCTCTGCCTGTACCAGCTGTGTTACCTTGGCAGGTTGCTTACCCTCTCTGTGTCTTCATCTCCTCATCTGCGACATGGGATGCTGACATCCCAGGGCTGTATGAGGGTTCCCGAGCACACTCAGAGCAGATGTGCGAGGTGGGCTCTGCCACTTACGTGCCGTCCAGGTGGCCTTCTGCTGCGCCCCACCCATAGCAGGGCTGCGGGACGGGGCTCAGGAGATGCCTGGCAGCCAGTTCTGCAGGTGCTGGGATGCAGGCTGATCACATTCAGCTTATCTGGAGAACCGTGTGAACTGGTCACCCTAGTCCTTCAGAGGTGTGAGCAGAGTCAGGCCCTTGTGTGCAGAATTTCCCCTCCAGCCGTCCACCAGGACAGACATGGCTCTGGCAGCCGCTGAGCGTGGGCATCAGTGCTGTGTCCAGATGCCATGTCGGGGGTGACACCTGCTGATGTGGGCCTGTCAGAGCCGTGTCCCAGGATCTTGAAGCCTCAGGGGTTCTTTCCAGCACTACCCCGGCCGTACTGGCCACGCCAGCTCCCCAGGATTCCGTTCCTACAAGGACCACATGACTCACATCCATTCCTCTTCCCTTTCCAATAGCCTCTGAGGGAGGTGTCATTGCCCCCATCTTGCAGGTGAGGACACTGAGGTTTGCAGCATCAGCACGTGGCCTGAGGTCCCTCCGTCCGTAAGGGCAGAGCCCGGATCCGGTCTGGGAGGGTCTGGCCTAAAGCCGTGCCTCCCGTTCGTGGGGCTGCCTCTCACACAGGGCTCCCCAGCCTGCGAGGTGCTCTGAGGAGCCTGATATGCTTCCCGGGGACCGAGGGCAGCGGCCTCTGGAATTGCCTTCCTGTGACACCCCAGTGTTGTAGGAACCAAGGAGGGACCAAGCCCCTCTCCTGTCTCTGGCTCCCAGGAAATCCTGTAAAGATCAGGGCTCTCGCCAAAAAGTTGGGCAGCCCTGCCTGGCCGAGAAGGTCCTCGCACACCACCCCAAACAGCTGAGCTGCAGCTCGGCTGTGTGACCCTGAGTGGGTCTCCCAGCCTCTCTGAGCCTCGAGTTCCTCATCTGTAAACAGGTGTGAGGGTTACACGAGACTGGAGCGCAGAGCACCAAGCAAGGCCAGGCATCGGGAGTCACCTGATCCACGCCAGCCTTCCTTCTCCAGGCCGTTCCCCTCCTTCCGGAGTCCCAGCCGAGCCCCCTGTGTTTGAGCACCTGGCTAGGTCACTGGGTTGAAGCTCTCCAGGCTCCTCTCTCTGGAAGTGGCCTGGGGGCAGCACTGAGGGCAGTGAGAGGGTCTAGGCGGGCTCCGGGCAGAGGCCCACGAATAGCAATGCCTCCCTCGTGGCGAGGCCAGCGGGGTGGGGAGGCCCAACCCAGCGGCCCAAGCCCTGTAGCTGCCTGGAGGAGGAGGCATCGGTCTCCAGCCCCCATGGGCACTCTGTGGGCCCGTGGTTGCCAGGCCCGACTGCCCCTTCTCCTGGGTCAGATCCGGGGCGGCATCACGGAGATTCGAAATGACTGATGAGTTTACGTGGGGGCGCTGGACACGCATACGGCGGGACTGGTCAGGTCATCCTCCTAGAAACAGTTACAGGCCACAAGGTAGACTCCCGAGGGGGACTGTGACCTTTCTCATTGGAAAAAGCAGCAGCACTTGCTTGTCCTGCAGACTTTAAAGCGCATTCCCTGCAGTGTATTCTACTTGATGTCAGTAGGCTTGAGACCAACAAAAAGTGCTCTGAGGTCCACCTGGGGGCTTCTGGGTTACACGCAAGCAGCTTCCTTCCCGCAGGGCTTTCCCGCGGAAGCGAGCGCACCCTGGGCTCTCCAGGGAAGGAAGAAAGGGGCTGCATTTCTCAAAGCATTTGGCCAGGGGGCCCTTTGGGGAAAGAATACAGTGGCCACCTTTCCTGGAGGCAGGGGATGGCTGACGCCCACGTGTTCTGCCGTCCTGTGGTCCGTTTCCTTACAAATTCTCCCGGTTTGGGGTGGCAGGGGTAGGGCAGGCTCTGAAAAGAAGTCTTCATGAAGGTGCCAACAAGTCCCGTCTCTGTGATGTAGGCTGGTGGGCTCTCTGAGTGGAAGGAGAAGCAGGGGATCATGAGCCCACTTCTCCCAAAGCCACTTCTGAGCCACGTTCTGGGTTTGAAGTGACACATTCAGACAGTTTTTGACCTCAGACTCCCCCAGCTCTGGCCCTAGTCTTGCTGAAGACAGTGAGGGAAGCTAGAGAGGTAGAATGATGCTGTCTGCTCCGTAAACGGTCCAGCCTACTCAACGTTCACGAGCCCCTTTGCCTGATAAAGATGGCTCAGCCCTCCCCGGAATACATGGTGTCAATCAGCAATCGTTTATGGAGCAGGTACCGTGTGTTTCAAAGACGAAGCATGATATAGGAGTTCTTGCTCTTGCAGTTTACAGCCTGGGTGGGGAGGCGGTGTCAGGAAGGGCGAGCAGAGGGCTCTTTGGCTGCCTGGGCCACGGAGAGTGTGGGGCCGGGGAACGGGGGAGACGAGGTTGGGTGACACTGGACACCTAGGAGGGGGAGGGCCTGGGGTCCGCCTACTGCGTCCAGGAGTTATAATGCTGTGCACTGGGGCTGGGGGTGGGGGTGTGGGCAGTTGGACCCTCAGGCTGTCTGTGACAGTGACAAGGAGCTAACAATTGGGCGGGGTGGGAGGGGGAGCAAATCCTACATGATACAGAATCAGAAGCAGCAGGGCTTTAGGAAGGAAGCCCAGGGCCGGGCTGGCAACGTTCTTACCCTCTCTGTTGCAAGTCGGATTGGAGGTCATGAAGTTCCTTGGGCAGTATCTGACTGTGTGGGGTGTGGCTGTGCACACGTCGTGGTCACAAAGGGAGGCTGGTGTCACTGCATCGTGCAGTGAGCTTCGGGGACCTTCCACCACGTGTGCCTGTTCCATTCCCGGTGAAAGTAAACCAGAGGGGACAGAGCTGAGGAAGCAGCAGGGGTGGGGGGTGCAGAGGGCAAGGAGCGCCGGGTAGGCGAGGAACCAGGCCCCTTATAAAGGCGAAGCATGTTGCCCACAGTTGCTGTTCTGTGGCTGCTGAAACCAACCCACGTGTTGGTCCAGCTCCTTCCTTCGGTAGTCCCCGCCGGGCTCGCTTGGGTGGGGGACGCCCTCAAGCACAATTCACAATTTCAGAACCACACTTTCAGCTAGTAAGTTGCTTAAGGCTGATACAACCTGCTGTTTTTGGTTGTTCAAAACAAGTAACAGAACACATTTAATTATGCATCTTTTATGTATCTGTATGTAACGAAAGTTTAAGTGACGTGAATTAATCCACCCTCTCTGGGAGAAAAGTAGTAGATGTTAACAGAAAGCCCCATGGCTCTTTGTTGGGGGTCCTCCCTTACCCTGAATTTTCTAAAAGACCTGGAGACTCACTCCATCAGACCAGGAATTTATGCAATAAGCTACTGCCATTGCTTCTCACCGCCACACGGTGGCGCTGTCCACAACTGGTTCCGCCCAGTGGGGAGCGGAGACCCGGACTGGTTCTCTGCTGCTGGTCGGATCCCGCCCAGGTCTGCGGAACTCTGATGAGGAGGATCCCAGCACTCGGGTTTTCTAAGCTCGGGAGAGGGGGCTCCTCGCCAGGTTCCTGGGGCTACGGCTCCCGGGGCTTGGCCCTCAACAACAGAAGTCCACGGCCATCCTCCAGAGAGCATCTTTCAGGGGGCGTTACCTTCCCAGGGACCACCCAGGTGACTCTCCGTACCTCTCTCACCAGAGCAGGAGCTCAGCGTGATGACTTGAATCTGCAGTGGAACAGCCCCTCCAACAGGAATCAATTTAATAAGACACGTGTGTTAGGTCAGCGCAAGCCCCTCTGAGCTTGTGGTTCAAACGTGAAGCTCCAAGAGAAACACTGGGGGAACAGGCGGGGGGAAGGAAAGGAGGGGGGCCAGGACGTACTGGCTCACGAGGTCACTCACTGTAGAAACGTGGGCTAGTAAGTTAACGCTTATGGGCCTCAGTTTTCTCACCTGTAAAACCAGATGAAATTAACACCTACCTCCTGAGAAGGGGGTAGGAATTAAACGTGCGATCACAGGAAGCACTTGGCACAGTGCCTGAGCACGAAGAGTAATGAGTGACAGCTTTACTTGCCGTTATGATTATTTCAGTACTGTGCCCTGCTCAGCGCCCCATCCCAGTGCCCAGAGCTGTCCGGTGCACAGACGCCCGCGGTAAAACCGTGCTCTCGTGCCCCCTGAGGATAACCTACTGCACGGTGTCCTCGGCTCCTCCCCAGGTAAAGCAGCCAGTGGAAGACAGCGCAGACCACAGCTCACCTGCTTCCGTGGCCTCACCTGAGCTCGCTGCCGGCTTCTCAGTCCTTTGCTAAGTAGAGAGAGAACCAGTTCGAGAACTACACGTGCAGGCTGTGAGGTCTTCTTGCTTGGGTGCACTTTTCTGATGGTCTTATGAAAAAACGTAGCTAGCACGTGAGGAACATACGTACGTATCCAGTATTGGATCAACACCAACAGATAGAATGTCGTATTTATAAAATTGTCATTAGATGCAAATAAACTTCTGACCTCTATCAACTTACATTTAAATAATTAAGTCGAATATGAATGGACAGGGATCGCGTGGGAGAGGACAGTCCATCTCACATTTTCGTCAAACGGCACCCATTCCGCGTCAAGCACTGGGGGAGGACTGAGGGGCACTGCCTAAGAGAAAGCGCTGGCCTCTGGTGGCTCACGGCCCGGCCGGAGACGCAGGCGCACGGACTTGAGAATGCGCACTGGGGCTGGAGACCTCTGGACCTGGGGAGGGCCCCGCGACCCGTCCGTGTGAGCTGAGGTGTAAGGTCAGGAATGGGCGGAGTGTCGGCAGAGACTGGTCCTGATGGAGCCGAGGGTCTGTTTGGAAGAGAGCTTCTAGAACCTTCCCTTGAAGGCACTGTCCCTTCAAAGGGGAGCCCTATAGGCTGTGGAGCGGGGGAGGGGTGTGCGAATTTGACCTGGCGCCTCATCCGCCCGCTCCCAGTTCCGAGAGCAGATGCTCAGGGTACTGCTGACTTCTCCCGGTGTCCGTTCAGCATGGGGTCAGAGCCAGCTGGGAACAGACCCGGGCCGGATAAGGGACGAAGACAGGAAGGTGCAGGAGACTCTCGGGAATCTGAGTGCGTCACGGACCTCCCCCTGTGGGGTCAGAGCCAGCCCCTCTCTGTCTCGCGGAAGGCCTGGCCCAGCGTCCGAGCTGCCCACCCCTCTGCACGTGGGATGCAGCACCCGCTCACCCAGTGAAGCTGAGGTGCTCCATGAGGACGGCACCCGGAGCAGTGTGCCACGTGCTAGGGTGGCATTTACAGGACCCTGTGGACACACAGAGAGGGGGCAGATCAGAGAGACCTCCTAGAGGGAATGGCCGCTACGTTGAGTCTGATAACCACGGGTGAGGAGGATTCATGGCACCGAAATTCAACCCAGGCCAGTTCTTTTCTAAAACAACAGCATGCTGGAGTCTGGGAAAGGCTGTGTATCTCAGTCCGGCCCCGACAAGCCCGCGTGCTGCCTCGTCCTCCCTCTCAGTTACTCAGCAAGTACTCGTGCAGAATCTACGGCCTGCAGGCTCTGGGCACACAGACTGGGAAGGATGGGCACTTGTGCTAAGTGCCAGGATGGTGGAGAGGGCGCCTCCCAGCCCCACGGGGACTGGGACACAGAGCACACTGGCGGTGCCTCTCTATGGGTGGAGAGATTCGGAAGTCCTGATCACACGTGGGTTTCTTGAATCAAAGATGCATTTCCTTCCATAAAGAGTCAGAGCCTTGGTTGCAGCCAGGCTGCCCCTGGAGTCCCTACTGCTAACTCAGTGAGCAGGCTCTGAGCCTCCGGGTGTGAGGCCCTGGGAGGCGTCGTTGGCTAGATGTATCCTCGGGCTCAAAGGGAACCGCTCCGCTGGGCACTTGCACGCGGCCGGCCCTGCAGGGTGCGTCTTGGGGAACATTTTTCTCGTGTGATCCCCATACGTTGTTAATCTCCCGGAGGAATGTTTCCATCATCTCGTAGGTAGAAACCACGCCTCAGAGAGGTCACCCAAGCCCTGGGGGGAACGCGGGGTCTGAACCCGGCCCAGCTCTACCGTCTGCGGCTGCAGCCCACCTCCTCCCCTCTGGGTGCTCGCAGTCGCCCTGGAGGGTGGGGGTGGCACGAGGAGCCCACAGGACGAGACTTTCCTAATTGATGTATTCACTGTCCTCTTTAGAGACGGTTCCCCGGGACCCTCTCCCGGGCCGGCGCCCCCTAGCAGCCTGGGGATCCCGAGGGCCGCGAGGACCACCACCAGGCTCAGGGCCCCCGGAGCCGCAGGGCTAGCGCCGTGGGAGGGCCGGCCCCGGCGGAGGCCCAGCTCTGCATCC